GCCATCAAGGTTAAGGACCACAAGAACCATCTGCTCAACGCAGAAACTTTCTTGATCCCACTCCGTTCCTTTGATCTGTGGAACAGATACGCCACTCTACGCAAGAAATGTTATAAGCCAGGACATTGGAATGAATCAAGGTTCTTCATACGTATTACTGGAACAATTTATAAAAATTTCGACGACAACTTCAACAAAAAGCTGGGCTACCGTGGGAAGCAGAGAGTCAGGTTCGCGTGTGCGGACCACCCTCAACACGCACTCTCTGACCACGGGGGAGAAGAATCAGTCGCTGATGGACAGGCAACTAAACCACACGCACACTACTGCCAACAACAACTATGTCTTGCCTAGCGCATCCTAGACGCAGGCAAATGACACTGCCGTCAAGGTTGTCGTGCACAAGCAGCATGTAAAGTCCCTTTGCGCCGTCATTTCAGCCCTTGTTCCCACTGATGGAGAAGTTTTGAATTCAAATTGATGAGCTTCCCACCTCGCCCAGAGCCTCTTACCATGTGTCATGTTCAAGTGATGCGGATCTCACCTCAGTCCGTCCAGCGCGCAAGACGACCGCTCTGCTTGGAGTCCAGTGACCGACTGAGCGAGAGCCCGCCTCTCTGCGACCAGGGAGGCCAGGGCCCACCTCATTTTAGGCCGCCCGAGTGGGGCGAAAGGTTTGTATTATAATTGATGTTATTTTCACCTCGCCCAAAGCCTATAACCATGTGTCGCGTTTCAGTTTTGCGGTTCTCACCTCGGTCCGTCCAGCGCACAAGACGACCACTCTGTTCGGAGTCTGCTGACCGACTGAGCCAGCGCCCACCTCTCTGCGACCAGCGAGGGCAGGGCCCACCTCGTTTAAGGCCTCTCGAGCGTGGCGAAAGTTTTGAATTCAAATTGATGAGCTTCCCACCTCGCCCAGAGCCTCGAACCATGTGTCATGTTCAAGTGACGCGGATCTCACCTCGGTCCGTCCAGCGCGCAAGACGACTCCCCGGCTTCAGAGATGTAGATGTAGACCACGCACTAACTGTAAAGAAGCCTTGGTTACAACATTTTTGATGCCAGAGTGAAGTCCTAGCAGCTGGAGAAGTCTGTCATTCTGTGGGTGCCACGAACCTCGGGCACCTACAACAAAGGGTTGTACTATAACGTTAGAGACACGATACTTTCTCTTCACGCCATTTATAAAATCGGGCTGGCTGTATTTATTTTCCTTATGAGCATAAGCACTCATCATCGAGTTAGTATAGGACTCATACGCAATCGTGGTGTCAGCAACTATTACTGTGTCATCTTGTCTTCTGATTATTAAATCTGGGATGTATGTTTTGTTTGTCTGATGGAGACACCCAGGGAGGAGGCCACCATTTGCAGGTACTTCGACTCTGTGAACTGTGGGTGCTTCTTCAAAGATGCCGCCGTGATTTTGGATTGCTCCTTGCAACGACTTTTGGATATTGTCGTGCCGGTTGATACGAGCATAGTGTGTAACCGGACATCTTTGGAGAATATGGTAGAGAGTTTCTGAATCAGCGCAGGATTGATTCCGACATTCCCTCTGGTCCCACGGCCTTGACTGCGTTTGCAGGAGGCCAAATCTAAGGTGGATGGCTTTTACATACTCGCCATATTTCCAGAAGTTTGGTGGATTGTACACATACTGGCTGGGAACTTGAACTTGCAGAAACCCTTTCATGAGGGCACAGTTAGCTACTTGTTCCCTGTAGTAACTCTTGACATTAGCAGGCTGGTTGCCGTTCAATGGCTTGATAATAGCATCAAGGCGGTTGATAGTTGTTTGTACTACCTCAGTTTGGAATGCGGCAATAATGTCAGGGGCACGGCTCATTTGGGCATTCTGGAGCCTTCTTCTGTAGGTTGCTGCTACCTGAATTCTTATGCAGGGGATAGCTAGACCTCCGAGTTTGAGTGGAGCGTGGATACATTTATATATCGGGGCAGGTCTTCGGCAGCTTCAGGATCGCTTTTACGGCAGCCTTCAGTTTCAGGTCATAAGTCTTGAGGTGTCCACTGGTAATTCCTATATATTGTAGTCCATGGTAGATGGTAGGCACAAGATATCTTTGTATTATCATCAATTTTTGCCAGGGTTTTAGGCACGCCTTTTGTATTCTCAACAGCATCCCATCAAGTTTTGATAGGGAAGGGCACCTTACTCCCAGGTGTGAGTATTGGTGCCCGAGGTATTTAAACTGTTCCTCCATTTTGAGTTGGGATGTTCTTACCATCAAATTTGAGTGCTGTCTTCGTTTCGACACAAACTCTTTTTGTGACTGGTACTCGGAGTAGCTGGAGTGCAGCGCACTTTTCAACATTGACATCAAGGTGGTGGTGGGTGAAAAATCGCTGAGCCGTTTGTATCATTGCCTCCATGGAATTTATATCGTCTGATAGCATCACGATATCATCGGTGAATGCCAATCCTTTTACGGTTCCTTCGCCGATCTTGACTCCTGGGTGTTCTTTGTAAGAGTTCAAGTAGTTCATCAATTATGAGGTTAAAGAGGAACCCAGACATTGGGTCCCCTTGTTTCGTGCCTCTTAGGAGGGGGCTTATTTTTGTTCTAATTCCATTGCATTCGAGCATCGTCGAGATTCCATTGTAGTTGGCCAATATGTACTTGATTGTATGCTCGTCGACTCCTTTCTTTCGGAGGGCGTTTGTGATTGACTGAATCGTCACTATGTCTAATGCTTTGGCTACGTCCAGGCTTAGAACAATCAGGGGGCGTCCATCTCTGCGGTGAATTTTGATGACTGCCTGGATCACAGTATTGTTGATCATTACGCCGTCCTGGCTTGTAAACCCCCTTTGCGAGAAGTTCAGGGGCAGGTTATTTTTAAGCCTTTTGAATATGATCTCGACGCGTTCTACAAACAAAGTTCGATCTCCCGGCGCGCCGTTCAACACTGTCCGATCTCCGGGCGCGCCGTTCAACGAAGTTCGATCTCCTGGCGCGCCGTTCAACGCTGTCCGATCTCCTTTTAAGCTTTTATTTGCACCGTAGGCTTCAAGCCGTGATATCTTCGTTGAGAGTTCACTTAAAAGGAAACTAATAAATTCTATGTGATACTAAAAGATTACGCTACACAATGGACCAAAAATAAAATGCTACGATCTTGACGAACAGACGTACGAGGCGTTTAAACTTCCACCTCGCTGCAAACCCCGAAAAGGAGATCGGACAGCGTTAAACGGCGCGCCAGGAGATCGAACTTTGTTCGTAGGACGCGTCGATCTGCTGTAGTAGTCTCAGGAGCCGACTAGCAATGGTGATCGGCATCTAGTTCTTTGGATCTTTGCGATCGCCGCCCCTTTGGGAGGAGGCAGGTCCTATTAGCCCGCAATATAGGTGGCAGCAAGCACGTGCCCCATATAAGATTTAAGATGGCTAACAGATCCGTATGGTTCATCTGTCTAAGGACTTGTCTCTTAATCCTATCTGGGCCAGCTGCTGTCTGTTTTAGTTTCTTAAGTCCAGATATTAGCTCTTCCTTTGTGACTGGTGAACTGACATCAACCAGTGGTTGGGGCAGTGGCTCTTGGGGCTGCCATTCTGGGGTGACTTTGCTATACGTTTTTGTGAAGAACTCCTCAATGGCTTCTGCAGTGGGGTGTTCGTCGACCTCTACCTCTTGCCCCTTTAGGAGAGATGCAGCGACTTGTCTAGGGTTCTTTTGGGAGAGATTTTGCATTTTGGCGTATTCTGCCGCGCGTCTCTTGCTTCTGTTTCCCTTTCGTTTGGTTGCCTTTTTCTGCCTCTTGGCTCTTGGTTTAGGCTTGCTCTCATGGGTATGAATGGACAAGATTTTCGCGTCCATTTTCAACAGAAACTCATCAGGTTCTAGGCTATTCAGTGCAGTATCAATAATACCAGCAACGTCATCGGAAGTTTCATCTTGGATCTGCTTAAGAAACATTGCTATGTTATTGTTTTGCACCAGGCCGGAGGGTGCATCAACTCTTACGAGTCTTAGGAATAGCGGGTGCTGGCACACTTCAGAGACTGGTTGTTCATCTTCCTTCGCTATTTCATCTGTGTGGTCATGACTCAGTTCAGGTTCTTGGCGCGCCGGCTCAGGTTGTTGGGTTGCCAATAAGGCGATGATACTCTTGTATTCATCTTTTTGTCGAGCCTTTTTGAGGCCATCGGCTGAGCGGCTCGTGAGGGTAGAGAGAGCTATGCATGTTGCCGTGACAGAGGCTTTGGTGGCTTCTGGGAGGGATAGCTCATGACGGGCTATGCTGGTAAGTTCCTCTTTAGTATACGGCCCTCTCTTGGTCACTGCTCTGGCACGCATAAGATCAATATCATCCTGGTTATATTCCAGTGGGTGGGCCCTCTTGTAGTGTTGAAGCATGGATGGATATGAGGGTCATGCTTTTTGGCAGAGTGGGGAAGGGTACCCATTTTCTGCAGGGGGAATAGCATTACAGCGTCGTATATGTTGCTTCCTCTGCTCATCCTTTCGTGCAGAAATGTCAAGATGCCATTTTCGGCTGATTGTTATTTCATTTTCCGGAGGTTGGTTCACTCCAGAGGTGGTTGCTGTGCCACTGTCTGGGTCCACAGCGATCCGAGGCTCAGTTTCTTTATTATTAGCCGCAAGGTGCTTGTATAGTTTTCATGACTTGCGGGGACATGAAAACTAATGGCTCGAGGCCATTTGCTGGGGCTGCCAGCGGGTGCATAACCTCTGCTGTTGGTTCGGGGACCAGGCTTCGCGACAGAGGTTCGGTCATTTGGTCCCTTATTCGGCGCCACCGAGGGTTGCCTTTAGCCAGGAGGTAGCAGTAGGCACTTGGGAATGGGATTAGAGTAGCTGCCTCGCAGGGTGACACACGGCACTACTACCCCTCACACCAAACCCTTATGGTCTAGAGATGGGGAGGATGCACAGCGGACTCTTTCAAGTCAAGTTAGGCATCTCCTTATACTCTAGCGGAGCACTTGTGGAGTCTCTCAGGCGCTGCCCAAGAGAGTCATAGTTACTCCCGCCGTTTACCCGCGCTTGCTTGAATTTCTTCACGTTGACATTCAGAGCACTGGGCAGAAATCACATTGCGTCAACAACCGCTAGGTCCATCGCATTGCATTGTTTTAGTTAGACAGTCGGATTCCCCTGGTCAGTAGAGGGTAGCGTAAAAAAAGGATTTGAGATACTGAAATGGCGGGTATGCGGAAAAGTTGTCTTTTTAGATGTAGAATCCAGTGCAATTTTTTATTTTGAGATCGGACAATATTTTCCGATCGCGCAACGAGTTCAAAGTTATGCATTAGCTCTTGTGGGAAAAATCGCCCAAAACCATGAAAAAATGAAAATCGAAAATTTGGGCTTTGTATGTGATGTTTTTTGAAAATCTGTTTTCAGAAATGCAATCTACGTCATAAAAGGCATCCACTGATGTGTCACACATGATATTATAGTGAGCGGTTCAGTGCCGACCAGGTATCAATTTAAGCCCAAATTGCATCAAATTGCACAAAAGTCATCAAATTATGCAGCCTACACCGCCTAAACCATGGGTTGCAATAATCAAGTGTGATACATCACCGGATGTCCTTTTTGGCGTAGATTGCATTTCTGAAAACAGATTTTCTAAAAACATCATGAACAAAGCCTAAATTTTTGATTTTCATTTTTTCATGGTTTTTGACGATTTTCCCCATAAGAGCTAATGCATAACTTAGAGCTCGTTGCGCGATCGGAAAATATTGTCCGATCTCAAAATAAAAAATTGCACTGGATTCTACATCTAAAAAGACAACTTTTCCGCATACTCGCCATTTCAATATCTCAAATCCTTTTTTTACGCTACCCTCTACTGGTCAGTGCCAGTTCTAAGTTGTTCTTAAGATGGTGGCCGTAGGAGACGCGCGGGACGGCCAGTTGCCCAGCCGCCGTGATCAACGGCCCCCTGAAGCTTGAAAGGTCCACGGAATAGGCCGAAGCGCTGGGACCGGGGTTGATCTCGCCTTGCGGCTCGACCTCACCCAGGCCCGGCATCCGACACAAGAACAGACCGCTTCTCTGACAAGCCCGACTCACCTAGAACCTCAGAGCCAATCCTTATCACGAAGTTACAGATCCAATTTGCCGACTTCCCTTACCTACATTATTCTATCGACTAGAGGCTATTCACCTTGGAGACCTGCTGCGGATATGGGTACGAACCAGATCGGATGTCCACGTGGCCCTCACCCGGATTTTCAAGGTCCGAGAGGACGCTGCCGACATCGCCGCAAGTGCGATGCTCTTGGCGCGCTGCCCCCTATCTCCCTGCTAGAGGCTTCCAGGGGGTGTGCGCACTTATACAGAAAAGATAACTCTCCCGGCAGCTCCCGGCGGCGTCTCCGGGGCATGTTAGGTTACCCTGACGAGCTTTAAGAGCCCGATTGGAACGGTTCCGATGCTGGGTTCCGGAATAGGAACCGGATTCCCTTTCGCCCGACGGCAGTCTGCACCTCTGTTTGTTTTTCGCACAGGGCAAAAAGCATAGCAAGACTAGCGCATCGACTTCGGATTTCTCCTAGGGCTTAGGATCGACTGACTCGTGTGCAACGGCTGTTCACACGAAACCCTTCTACCACATCAGTCACCATGAAAGGCGACCAGGACTATGCTTGGTTATCAGGTTTAAATGTTATGTTGTTTTGTTGTTGGTTTTTTGGGTGGGAGGGATGTGAAATGGGCACGTGACTTGAGGTGTGTGAGCAAAATTTGTTGTCGACATTACAACATTTTCAGCACTCCAGCATTAGGTCGGTTGCATGGTATGTGGCCTCCTTTGTACCCTCGTACTTTCTGTTTCTTTTTCAGCGCTTTTTTTTTCGTTTTTTTTTTAAATTTATTTTTTACCATGCCTCTTTAATCTAGTATATACAAACGCATAGTCACACATCAATACACATTGCACACTACAAATCATTCTGGTCAACATTAAGAAACAGAAGTTGAGCTAGACCGTCAAAAGTAAGCTTTATACCCGTTACATAGAGTTGGGTCTGAGGATCAAACACATTCACCTCAATTGCTAATAATTTTTCTTCAAGTTGAAGGGAGGTGTTGACGACGTCTTCCATCAGCCATCCTTCGGCGACTAGCCGTGTCCACAGCGTCTGCCAAGTCAGAGTGTGGTTAGGCTGTGACGCCAGCAGCTCCATCAAGTTTACTAAATGTCAATTGGAAGTTAAGTAATGCCAGAAACACCTTTTCACAAATTTTGCGGGTATTAGGGTGCTTCTATGAGGAAACCATCAGTACCTATCATTTATGAGTAGACCAGTATATGGTCACTCAAACATGTTCATAATCTGTGAAAATGCATTTAATGCATTACTAAACTTCCAAATTGCATTAAGGAAAACTCAGGCAGCATCAAAAACAGCAAAATCTGAAATGATGGGTGATGGGTTCCAAGTTTCATTGGAGGGCCACCTTTACACACTCCTTAGCGGATTCCGACTTCCATGGCCACCGTCCTGCTGTCTTAAGCAACCAACGCCTTTCATGGTTTCCAATGAGCGTCGATTTAGGCGCTTTAACTCGGCGTTTCGTTCATCCCAAAGCGCCAGTTCTGCTTACCAAAATTGGCCCACCTATTGTACTTAAAAATTCTCCTGTGTACCACCCCGCCTCAAATTCTTATGCTGAGAGGGGAGTGAGAATTGCGAAAAGAGCACTTGCAAAATTGTGAGAAGACCTAAAGTTAAACCATCCTGAAATGTGTAGTGACTCGAATCTCCTAATTAAGGATAGAGTAAACTCCTTTCTGCTTCATCATCGCAACACTCCATCAAGTCAAACAGGAAAAAGTCCAAATGAAATGTTGTATCTATTGACAGCGAACCGCGAACGGAACGTTGATTTAGTTCCGTAATATTTCATCCATTCAAACAACCGTAATCCTATCACCATGTCGATGAGTAACAATCTCAGCGTGTGTGCTTGTTGCTTCTTTACGCTGTAACGACTGGCGTTAGCCAAGGTCTAAAGACAATTCTATTGCAACGCCGGGCGCGGGCTGTAGCGCGCACGTGTCCAGTCATTAAAACATGATAATGGATAAAGGAGGCATTACTTTTCTCATTCGGTGAAGTGCGAAACTCGAAGGTTCTAGTGCAATAGGCTTATCCCGCATCTCCTTTTTTTTCATCATGCGGCTGCAGCAATTTGCCTGCTACTCTAAAACGTGTGCTTTATTGGTAAAAACGTCTTGTATTCCTTCCAAATTGAGAAGTGATCAGTTTGCTGCATGGACATAAAAACTCCCGAGTGTTTTGGAGTGAAATTGTTCGGGTTAGTGTAGCTGCTGCGCCGTTAGGCCGCAGTTGTGCTTGCACTGCATGGATGGTGGCCACACGCCGTGGTGGTGGCCATTGATTTGATCAATTACTCAGTGGACCACTTCACGCTCTTTGTCTATCGCATTCAAATGCCTTATATTAATGAGCAATCCGGTCACTCCATCATTGGTGTCTGTTTGGTGAATGGCTCGCTGTGTGCCTTGTAAAGGATTTAGCCTCGTGAGGCGAGTCGCGGCCTCATTGATCGAGTTGCTTCAGAGGTCGAGAGATATGAATGGCTGGACCTCTAAGACGAGCTGCCTCAGGCTGCCTCCCGAGACTAAATCCATCATTGTGTCCACTATTTGCCAAGAAACAATGGACAGGTGAACCCTATTCATGCTTGCTATTTCAAGGACTACATTCCACCTTCTGAGGTGAACCGGATCGTGCCTGTCGAACAAATGGATTTTACCAGGCCAACTCCGTCTCTAACGCCAGGACATTTTAGAAATCGACCACCCATATATGTAATAGTCAACAGCGCTTCTCAATCAAACAATATAATTGTTTTGTGACGCTTTTCTTGAATTTTCACGTGGAAAATATTTTTGGCAAAATGTCTGTAATTGTCATAGCACCAACCAATCCCCGCTCGATTGCCTTCTTCAAATGGTGAGACCTCTGCCATGGCTGCAGGCTCAGGTGTGCCATCTGGTTACCTACGCCAACCTGCCCAAAATAGTTTTGGAAACCAATACAACAGTTCTGTAAGTCGATGGTCCATAGGGCCATTTTAGAGACATTAATTGGTTTGTACATTTCTAATTGTTTCAGTTGTTTTAAGCTTGGTTTTAAATGTTAGTGTCTTCTTTTTCAGCTTGGCTATGATGGCCAAATGACTTTCCGTGCTGACTCATCTCGTTTGAGACAGGCAATCGATGTGGCTGGTGGGGCTAGAACACGTCAACAAGCTCATGTTTCGGAAACCCTGATAACGATGTAAGTACCTAGATGGCCGGCAGTGCCATTCTAGTAATTGTTTTGTAAATTCTCATTGTGTGACTTGTTTCAAGCTTAGTTCTTAAATTTAATTTGTTTTCCTCAGTTTGGCTATGATGGCCAAAAGGACTTTCCGTGCTGACTCATCTCGTTTGAGACACGCAATTGATGATATGGCTGGTAGGTCCAGGATACGTCAACAAGCTCATGATTTTGGAAACCCTGATATCGTTGTAAGTACCTAGGATGGTATACAGTGCCATTCTAGTAATACTTTTGTACATTCTAATTTTGTTTTTTTGTTTCGAGCTTGATTTTTAG